AATTAAAATATATTAAATAGGTTCTTTGTCTTGGAGCTTGTGCAACAACTTATACAGAAAGTAGTTTACCTGCAAGTGTTTTTTCTGGTGCAACAGCTTTTCCATTTTGGGATGATTTATATATTTATCCAAATACATCACAAGGCATTTATTATCAATCAGAAGGAAATAGTCCAAATAGAAAATTAATATTTGAATATTATATGAGTCATTATATTGAAATAAATCAATATTATCATTTTCAAATTATTTTCTTTGAAGATTCTCCAGGTATTGTTCAATATAAATATTTTGATGCAACTGATCAAGGTGATACATGTACCATTGGAGTTCAAGGTAATTCATTTATTATTTTTACAAATTATTTTAAATAAATTTATTTTCATTTTTCGTTTTTGTTAATATATTAAGGTTCAAATAGTGGTCCATTCATCATGTATTCATATGATCAAAACAATTCTGTACAAGAAAATATGATTCTTACTTTTGATACAATTCATGGAACATACAATAAATCTACAATAACATAATTTATAAATAATATAATCTATATTATTCTACATTAATCATCAATATATAATATTATATTTATTATTATTATTTTCCTATGTTTTTTTCTTTTATTCTACTCTATAATAACGAGTAGGCCATTATAATAAACGTCCTACTTTTTCATTTCATTTTTTTACAATTTAATACGTTCTATTAAAAAAAAACAAATTCTATCATAAGATACAGTGTAAAATGCTTTACAATTAATACAAGATAGCTTTTTTCTAAACTTGCACTTTTTGCTTTCAAAATCGACAAAATTTGGAGCGATCAAATTTTGATCTTACGAAGACGATAGGCTTTTTTTTTTTGTTAAAATATGAATTGATTTTTTCTCATTTCATCTTTTTATCACCTGATATATTCTATTTAAAAAGAAAACAATATATACAATTAGATGCAATGTGAGAAGCTCTACAATTTACACAAGATAACTTCTCTTACAATTATATTTTTTGTTTTCAAAATTGAGAAAAATTCTGACCGATTAAATATTGATGCTACAAACAAGTCATTTTTCAATAGATGACCAATTCATTCTTTCATTATTTATCATCTGATGTGTTTTATTAAAAAGAAATAAAATATACCACAGAATGCAGCTTGAAAAGCTCTACAATTTACAGAAAACCACCATATTTCATAGTTGCACTTTTTCTTTTCAAAAACAGTTAATCAATCAAATTTCGACCATACGAAAACAATATTTTTTTTGTAGAAGATAGATTTTTTTTCTTATTTCATATTTTTATCAGCTTATATATTTTATTTAAAAACAAAACAAAACAAAATATATCACTAGATATATCGAGAAAATCTCTACAATTTACACGAAAGACATCTTATTGTAATCGTTTCGTAACAAAATTAAAATTCTCTATGACCGATTTTCGCATAATCGAAATTTGATCGTTTTAAAACTTTGACCATTTTTTAAGTAAAAAAGCCAACTATAATAAAAGTGATCGTATGTTAATTGTAGAGCTTTTCACGTTGCATCTTATGATAGATTTTGTTTTTTTGTTAATAGAACGTATTAAATTGTGAAAAAATGAAATGAAAAATTAGAACATTTATAATGACCCATCCGTTATAATTATAGATAGATGATAATATCATTAGAATATTTTAAATCAATGATATTCTATCGAGAATATATTCAACAGCTATATGACATGAACACATTGAGATATTTATTCTCTCAAGATATTTTATATAAACAACAAAAAATAATATTTTTTATTCAATTAACAATGTTTAAACCTACAACAATCATATATGATTTTTTTTTCAATAAAATCAACAGATAAATACTCGTTTATTTTTTTTAACCATCTACATCGATATTAAAAGTTTTTGATTATTAATAATATTAAAAGTAAAATTGTTTTAATCAAATAAATAGATTTGACAAATACATGCAAGTTTAATATACACGCATTAATATTAATTATTCATAAAAAAAGAGAAAGAAACATATGATTAACAAATAAAATAAATCAATATAAATCTTTGTTTTTCTATTTAAACATTATTATTTTATTTTGATTGTGGTTAAAGACTATATCGCTTTTTAAATGACCACAATTTGTTTATCCATCGAACATTATCTGATTGATTATGTTGACTCCTTGTTGAAAGATCCTCTTCATCATTATTGTCATTCAACGATTTTCTAATGTTCTCATCAAGATGTTCTTGATAGATTTGACTTATATATATATATATATATCAAGAATATCAGTCAATGGTGGGGATTATTTTTTAAAAAATGAGAATTTATTTGAGCACCAAATATAAGAATAATGGGAAAGTAATAGAAAAAGATAATAAGAATACCTAAAAAACCAATTTGACCTCAAAACAATAAACCAAAAAAAACAAAAATAAAAAAACCAAATTTTGAAATTCAATGATGGCATCAATCAATGATCCACACCATTTTTTTTCTCAAATTCATCTTTTTTTGTTGAGTCAATCGATAGATCATTTGAAAAAGTCCAAACAATATTGATAACGATATTAATATTCCATCTATAAATAGACCAAAACGATCACCATCTTCTAATATTGTATTCATCAAAGGAGATGGTTATGAACTATCAACAAGCATTAATATAACAATCATAATCAAATCTAATAGAAGAGCTAAAGACATTAGATTTTGACGTAAGAATGAACATTCATGTAGACGATAAATAATTGTCATCCTTTTATCAATGATAAAAAACAGACGAGACGCACAGAATATAGCAAATAGAATAGCAA